TTTCTTTGTGAACGACTTTTACTTATTTGGTGATACCGTAAAGTAGTATCTTAGATTTTGCAAAAAAATTATCAAAGAGCCATTAAGTTGAATTCTCACTGTTTCTGGCGTGATCGAACTGGCGTGCATTCTTTACCTTTGTCAAAAATCTTGGCGGATTTTTTATTTTTGGCCGAAAAAAAAGCACGATAGCCTCCGCACATGAGCCTAAAGATTCGTTCTAAACCAAAAAATTGGCGAAATCTAGAGAAATTAAAGCAAACCTCTGTTCGGAAAAAAACTCGGATTCGATACAGTTATCGATTTCTGTGTAATAGTTTAAAAAAACTATTTCAATGGGAACATATCATTTTTTTTAAAACAGGGAGGAGCATGGAAGACGAGGTTCGACCCCCCCCCCCCCCTTCGGCTCACATAATATGTAAACGACCCCTCAGGCTGCTCAGAGCAAATTTTCATCGCCTATGACTTGGATCACTCCCTATTTTCACTGATTAAAAGCCTGTGACGCTGAATGTCTTAAAATATATTAACTAACTAACTAACTATTTTCACTGAAAAGCCTTCCTCTCCGTGCAGTTTTTGCCATGAGCAAGTTGTTAGTTTGTCACAATGTCACGGCGGTGTGCGGAGCGATATAATCCGCTACTTAAGTAAAACTGGTGTTCGCAGAGGTAGCGATTGCAATCCCTCATGTCGTTCCATTCAGTCTTCATCCGCGGTCGGCGACTACTTTTATTGCCTCTCCGTCTGTCCGTAATGGCATTCTTACATTCTGACTCCGCTCTGCAGTGAACGGTGACTTTATGACTAGCACATCCTCCGGGTCCACACAGTTAAAAATTTCCGTGTTTATAGCTACTGTGGGTTCCTTTTTTTTGGGCGGGGGAGGGAGGGGGGGGGTTAATCAACCAAAAGGACTTGGTTCATCAACCAAAGTTTTGGTTAAATCGGCTAAAACCGCGGTAGATTCCTCCGAGACACCTGGTAATGAAAGAAATGTTCCGACTTCCTTATTCAGGGTTGCCACAGTCAGGGAATACCGGGAAATGTCGGGAAATTTTAACAAGTCAGGGAAAACCAGGAAATGTCAGGGAAAATGACGAAAGCGTCAGGAAAAAACAGTTAAGCCACCCTTATTTGCTCTCCAAAATGGGCTTAACGTTTCGGACCACAAATTTCGCCCGAAATATATTTAAAATTATGCCTTTTTAACCATCTGACATATCTTGACCTGTCAAGGGAAATTTACCAAAATGTGTAAGGGAAATTCAGTTTCTAAATTCTGTGGCAATCCTGCATGCTTATTATGTAAATACTCTTGTTTCTCTCGATGTCACCCACTTGTGAATGGCTATAGCTGGACCGCATTGGATTACCACCAAAGTGGCCCAGGTTCGACTCCGGCGGCTCACGCCTCTTTTGAGAAGGTAACGATTTTTCAACCCAGAGATTTGGTCAATACAACCCCCCAAAAAACTAACCAAAAGATCATGACCGCACGACTAGGTCTCTTTTTGCTCTACTTCCCGTTTCAACACAAATTGCCTGTTACTTTTTCCTTCTGTGCATGACCTCAACTTTGAGGCCTTTATTTGAGCTTGGGAGTTTGTTTCACAGAAAACTAAAAGCGCGATTATCGTGTTTCTTGCTAAAATTCTCCTGAGATATAATAAAAATAATAATAATATTAGCAACTTCTCAGAATTACATTGAGAAGTTATAAGAAAGAAAAGAAGAAGGGAAGAAATAACTGTGA